CGGTGAACGCTGGTGAATGCGGATGCTCCGGCGGACCACTGACCGCGTGCGGTGTACAGGACGGCGGCTAGAGCGCCGCACGTCAGGCGGCGGGCGCTGGGCGGCGCCCGGCAGGTGTACAGGCCACGGAGACGGATTGGCGACCCAGTGCAGCGTACGGGGCTCTGCGACGGGTCACTGTACTATGTACGGGCCAGGGAGCCGGGCAGCCACCAGCTTCTCTTCTCTCGATGGACTGTGCTTCTTCGGCTTACACTGCACATTCTGATGCACGATAGCTAGGAGAGACGAGTGAGTGGTGTCATGCTCGTCATCCGACGTCACCTCCCATCGGCTGAATCCGTTGGCTTGTCGGCGATCGCTTCGTTGCTTCCACGAATGCCCCTGCTAACAACAGCACGATGCGCTCCAGCCAGCCGGTGAGAGCAGGCTGTCGGCTGCGGCTCACCCCTGCGCAGCTGGCGCCGGCTGTGCAGAAAATCAGGCCGGCGCACGCGGGCTCGCCGTCTGGCATGGGCGCCGCTGGAGCCTCTCGTGACCCACCTCCATTTGGTACAGCATGCCGGGGCTGTGCTCAGCTGGCCGAACCCGACAGCTATCCGGCTGGACTAGTGCCTTTTAATCAAGCACTCGGTGCCCGTGAAGCTCTCGAAAATTGCCTGTCGTCTGAGCTCTCCGCTCCCGCCCGGCGCGGTCTGCCGGTCTGATAATAGCGGTCCGCTTCCGCCCGTGTGCCGCCGTCCGTCCAGCTGGAGCCCCCTATCCACGTGGAGCTAGCCCTCCGCCGTCTGTCCGCTTGACGCTTGCCGTCCGTCTGGAGCTAGCTTTCCGCCGTCTGTTGTTCTGAAGCCGTCTGCTCGTTTGGAGCCGCGTGACGGCCCGGCGCCACCTGTCCGTCCGCTGGCGTCCGCCGGCGTCCGCCGGCTGTCCGTCCGCCGCCGTCTGCCTTCCGTCCGTCGGACAACCTGCCGGCCGGTCGCCGTCGGACTGCCGACAGCTGCCTGCCAGCCGTCCGTCGCCAGCTGTCCGCCAGCCATCTGCCGTCTGGCGTCGCCTGTCCGCCGCTGGCGCCGCCCTGTCTGTGTGCCGTCAGCTGTCTGCCAGCTGTTCGCCGCCCGGCGCCGTTGTCTGCCGCCTGTCGCCGCCTGTCCGCCTGCCGCCTGGCGCCGCCTGTCCGTCTGCCTGCCGTCGCGCACGCGCCGGCTGCTTGGCCGAAGCCGCCTACGGTCCTCCAATGACGCCCTGTGTCATCTGTGCTCTCGCCCACGACACCCACTTACGGCTATAGTTCTGGCAACACCTTTATGCTTTGACCTCATGCTCTGCAATGCTTATATCCCACTGACGTGGAAATTGTATGGTAATTCTGTGAACTGGACTAGTCCGACTCAGTTTCTCCTCGCACTCAGCGCCAATGAAAGCAAAGTATCGCTATTTCCTCGCACTCAGCGCCTTTTCATTACGCTTGCTTGCCACACTGACCTCTGAAACCCGGCTAAGCAAACCGCATGTGTCCAGTCCTAGTATGTCGCTAGCATGTTTGCATGGATGGGCGTGTGGGTGCGGGATTGGCTTGGTCTTGTGTGCGCTGAGAGCCAGGACCCAGATTCTACGGTCATCCACGTCAATTGATGACACTTCAACAACGTAGCCCCGTGTACTGCTACTTTTCACTTAGACTTGCCCTGGCATTCGAGTAGCCGTAGAAGCCGTGTCCTGCATATTGTCGCTATTGCTGTCACGCGCATGGTGCATGCTCGCTTGTCGAGATTCTACCTTAGTGGTTTGCTGCTTCGAGGAGGGGCTGTCGCGGCGTGTCCCCCGGCCCGCCTCCGCTGGCTCACCGTCCCTGACGCGCTGCTTTGTGCTGCGCTCCCCCTCCCCCCTCCACCCCAACCCCACCCACCCCTCGCCCCACACACGCTGGCTGCTGAGACCGGAGTTATGCCCGGTGGCTGGAGAGACCCAGAGCCGCGCGTCGTAGCCGCGCACCCCTGCATCCCGCGCTGTGGGCGGAGAGCCTCCACCGCGTCAACCACACTTATCACGAGTGATCGACTCTGCACATTAAGCAGCCGCTGCTTGTAACTGCCCGGATCTTCTGCTCCTTGCGTCAGTTAATGCAAGCATTCAGTCTGGCTGTTGTGAAATGGCCTTTGCACTGACGGCCCCCTCAAATCCATGTGTTCCTCCTTTCCACAGGTCCTTGAGCGCTGTCCTCTCACCGGTCCCACTCATGACCGTCCTGACACATGTTTCTGCACACTCATCCAGTGGACAGGGTTACCCCGCGTCCGTCCAGCGAGGCCGGTAGTTGGAGTCGCTTCAGCGGGCATAGTTAACAGGGGGGGGGGGGGGGGGCAAAGAGGACACGACAGAACTGCACCTGGGAAGTGACCGGTGTTTCCTAGTCAGTGGGTGGGAGCCGGTAATAGAGAGAGGGCCTCTGTAGCCGGGGGTGGGTAGATAGCGCTGCATGAAGTAACAACTACACTGTACTTAGGCGCTTTGCCGTGACAGCTTAAGCTCTGTAAAACAACCGTCCCGAAATGGCTTCAGTTTGCTTTGCAGAGAGGTGCATTACTACGCGAGCAGTACTCGGCTTTTGTGCCCATACACACCTGTATATGCCTGTCGCCTGTAGCGCGCCTGTGGGTCCTACGCTTCCAGGTCCTGGCAACTTTTAACTTGAGGGTATGGAAAATCCTGGACTGTGGACTATGAACGTAACCGAACCGATCCGCGCGCGCTGTGGGGCAGCCCGTGGCCATAGCGTGCCGTGCGGGCAGCGGCCGGCCGTCGCCGCCGCGTGACCCCTGCCCTCCCGGCGCCGGCAGGAACATGAACCTGATCCGCGCCATCACGGCCGAGCATGGCAGCCAGGTGGACCGGTACCGGCTGATGGCTCGCAGCGCCACGCAGGGCGCCTTCCGCGTGGAGGGCGGTGGCCTGCGCTCCCAGCTGGCCGGCTACTGGCAGCGACTCGTCTTCGACTGGCGACTGTTGTGAGTGGCGCGGCCGGCCGGCCGGCCCCACAGCGCCTCCCGTAGGCGCCCCTCTCCCCCCCCCCCCCCCCCCCCCTGCACCTGGCGGTCTTCGTTTCTGTACGGGCATCGCGAGTGTGCCGTTAACGGAATGCTCAACGCGGATTTGGAAAAAACTTATTTTAGTCATTTATCACATTGCGGTATGTCTTCCCAGTCTAATCGTCAATATGACAATAAAGTAGATGCCGTGCACAGTGTGGAGCGGCGGTTCCCTGCACGTCAGCCCTGTTACACGGTACACTGACCGTCGTCTCGTCTGTCACAGCGTGGACTCAGTGAAGCTATGGGCCGTCCGTCACACCTTCCGCCTGCTGGCGCTGCTGGGCAAGGCCCCGCCGGAGATGAGTCGCATGGTGGACCAGCTGTAGTCGTCGGCCATCCGCGTCCCCGTCCCCGTCCACGGCGGCAGCGCGCCCGCCGCCGCCCCTCCCTGCGTCACGTAACGGCTGCTCGGCGAGACGGACAGAACCACGTGAAGCTCAGATGGATGTTCGCCACTCACGCCCTGCGACACCGGTCGCCTGTCTCGTCTGGAGAGGGCAACAGATGGCGGATGGCCGACGCCGGCTTCGGTGCGCAGTCGTCAGCCGGCCGCCGCTCATGCCGCGTGTAGAAGGCAATAGGATGCGTTGTACCTGTACTTGGGGATAGATGACCATTAGCGTCCGAGGTGCTCCTGGCCTTCGTGGGGACGACTGACGCCCGAGGTGCTCCTGGCCTTCGTGGGGACGACTGACGCCCGAGCTGCTCCTGGCCTTCGTGGTGACGACTGACCCCCGAGGTGCTCCTGGCCTTCGTGGGGACGACTGACCCCCGAGGTGCTCCTGGCCTTCGCGGTGACGACTGACGCCCGAGGTGCTCCTGGCCTTCGTGGTGACGACTGACCCCCGAGGTGCTCCTGGCCTTCGTGGTGACGAATGACGCCCGAGGTGCTACTGCCTTTCGTGGGGACGACTGACCTCCGAGGTGCTCCTGCCCTTCGTGGGGACGACTGACCCCCGAGGTGCTCCTGGCCTTCGTGGTTGACGACTGACGCCCGAGGTGCTCCTGGCCTTCGTGGTGACGATTGACCCCCGAGGTGCTCCTGGCCTTCGTGGTGACAACTGACGCCCGAGGTGCTCCTGGCCTTCGTGGGGACGACTGACGCCCGAGGTGCTCCTGCCCTTCGTGGGGACGACTGACGCCCGAGGTGCCTCACTGGCCTTCGCGTGGACGATTGACGCCCGAGGTGCTCCTGGCCTTCGTGGTGACGGCTGACGCCCCGAGGTGCTCCTGGCCTTCGTGGTGACGACTGACGCCCGAGGTGCTCCTGGCCTTCGTGGGGACGACTGACGCCCGAGGTGCCCCTGGCCTTCGTGGTGACGACTGACGCCCGAGGTGCGCCTGGCCTTCGTGGTGACGACTGACGCCCGAGGTGCTCCTGCCCTTCGCGTGGACGATTGACGCCCGAGGTGCTCCTGGCCTTCGTGGTGACGGCTGACGCCCGAGGTGCTCCTGGCCTTCGTGGTGACGACTGACGCCCGAGGTGCTCCTGGCCTTCGTGGGGACGACTGACGCCCGAGGTGCTCCTGGCCTTCGTGGTGACAATAGACGCCCGAGGTGCTCCTGGCCTTCGTGGTGACGACTGACCCCCGAGGTGCTCCTGGCCTTCGTGGTGACGACTGACCTCCGAGGTGCTCCTGCCCTTCGTGGTGACAATAGACGCCCGAGGTGCTCCTGGCCTTCGTGGTGACGGCTGACGCCCGAGGTGCTCGTGACGCTCCGGGCAAGTGTGTACTTAACCCGCGGTTGTCGGATGCGGAGCTCTGCCGGGCCAGTAGGTCTGCCGGCCATGTTTGGTACTCGCCTGGCGTGTTGGCAGCTTTGTACCACTGCCCTCGCGTGGCGGCTGGGCCAAGGTAGGTAGGCAGATTTTGCCGTTCAATCACGGGCTGCTCTGAGGTTAGATACGGACTACGGGTGCTCCGGTGGTCGGCTGCGTCTGGCGGCGGGCCAGACGCGGGGTGCGTGCTGTCGGCCAGTTTTGCAATCGGGAATCGTGGTGCCTCGCTGATCGTCGCCCAACAGTATTGTTAATTTTCTGTTTTGAGCGCTCCGAGAAACGTGTGCGTGCGAGGTTTTTTAAGCCTGCACTGCCTTTTAAGGTTGGCATATGGCCAACCTGTATGTCCCGCTGAAGATACGTTTTTGGTATTACTTTTTGGGAATCAATTTGTATACCTCATTGTATTTTCTGCCCTTTGAAATGTTCAAAGGCGTTCTCTGCACTCCGAAATAGACAACGTTTTGTGACTTCGTTGCGTTCCACTGATCCACTTTTCTGGAATGCGAGTGCAGAAACGACAGCTGCTGATCAGCGTAGTTGCGGTGATGCTTTCTACGTGACGCTTGTCCCTGGCTAAGCATATATGGGCGCGTTGCTGACGCTTAAGCTCTGGCTTGTGTCGTTACGAGATGATAGTTTCTTTGTTGTTGATAATCCGGTATCGTAACCATCCTACCCATAACACATATTGCAATTTTGTCACATTCGATGACATTCAGCGCAACAGAAAGAGATCGGGCAATGGAGAGGAAAAGGACGGAAATGAAAAACTGTGTAGCGAGACTTGGAATTTTGTAAATTCATTGCACTTCAATGAATTCCAAGTCATCAAAACTTGCCACGCGGCCAGGATAGCAATGCTGGCCACTGGCTAAAGAGTGCAAGCATATCGTTTTCCCCCTTAAATTTCAGTGGACCCGTCCTGCACATAGGAAACCCACGTGATCAAGACATTTCATCAATTCACGAGGGCGGCATGCAAAGCGCGTGGAAAACAGTGGGTGCCCCACGGAAAGCCATACAAGGCCGACATCAGACTCAGTTTATCGACAGAAGGCCTTAGATGATTCAGAGGAAGCGCCATCAGGTGCATAACAATTATCATGGAAAATTGGAGGTCTCGCCGGACCAGGAGAAGTTTCCGATTAGAAAGAGTAGAGGTCCCATATGTACCTGATGCGCGATTTTGAAAAAGCGGAAGAAATTCGTGGACTTTTCTAGATTTTTAGATGGGAGGATGGAATGGAAAGCTCCAGATTTGCTTAGGTATCTAAATTTGTTTTCCCCTTACCCCTGAGGAAAGTTAACAGTGCTGTCCGTGCGCTTCACTGCTTTACAATACATACACCAGCTTTTGTTCGCGGTTTTCGTCGTCTTCAGCTGCATCATTGTATTGAGGTCACGGAGTTATGCGTGGGCTTTATCGCTCACGTAACTTGTCCCCATGAGTGTGCGCTGGCCATCTCAGACACTTGGACACGCATTTATGGTGCATTAACTCTGTTGACCACACCAAAGAATAAATAGTTGGTCGTGGGTCTCTCAGCAGATTTTCTTAGGCTCATGCTGGAACGTACGTTACGATAATTATTTGGGCCGTACGTCTAACGACCTGCCAGGGACATTAAGACATGAGTTGGCAGACAACTACCAATGTGCTGTAACGTGTCCCGCTGTATTCGCCGAAAGGATTCGTGTTCGCCCCGCCTCCGCCCGCGTCATCCGTGAGTGACCGCACCTCCGCCCACCTCATCCGTGAGTGACCGCACCTCCGGCCGCGGCATCCGTGAGTGACCGCACCTCCGCCCGCGTCATCCGTGAGTGGCCGGACCTACGGCCGCGTCATCCGTGAGTGACCGCACCTACGGCTGCGGCATCCGTGAGTGACCGCACCTCCGCCCGCGTCATCCGTGAGTGACCGCACCTACGGCCGCGTCATCCGTGAGTGCCGTGAGTGACCACACCTCCGGCTGCGGCATCCGTGAGTGACCACACCTCCGGCCGCGTCATCCGTGAGTGACCGCTCCTCCGGCCACGTCATCCTTGAGTGACCGCACCTCCGACCGCGCTATCCGTGAGTGAATCCATGAGTGACCACACCTCCGCCCGCGTCATCCGTGAGTGACCGCACCTCCGGTCGCGTCATCCGTGAGTGACCGCACCTCCGCCCGCGGCATCCGTGAGTGACCACACCTCCGGCCACGTCATCCGTGAGTGACCGCTCCTCCGGCCACGTCATCCTTGAGTGACCGCACCTCCGACCGCGTTATCCGTGAGTGAATCTGTGAGTGACCACACCTCCGGCCGCGTCATCCGTGAGTGACCGCACCTCCGGCCGCGTCATCCGTGAGTGACTGAGGCCGCCCATCCCACGTGCGCTGGAGATAACATTCTCAGATACGACACGAGTTTATTGGCTATAATGTATGGGACCATAACACGAACAAGCGAGTCCGTGCCGAACGCTGGCCACCACTATTCCCTCCGCTCCAAACCGTGATTATGACACTAACTAACCCCCTCCCCCCATCCCACCCTCGTCCCCCCTCAAATTGGTTGCCGCCCCTTGGCCAGAACCTCACCAGAAGTAAGCCAGCAGCGCACGACCAACGGAAACATCCGTCTGATCGCGATGCGCTGCGAGCCGACATGTAACGTTAGGACGGTGTTACAATGTGAGTGCTCCCACATTCCTTATGGATGATAATGAGGTCAATACGCTAAGAGTGATTAGGAAGTTATCCGATGACTGATCGGGCGCGCGTGATCCGAATGACGTCACGCGTCAGCGCAATGGTGGTGATGTGCCGTTTGCCCGAATCTGCTAGACTCGAACAAGGGCACGTAACGCGCTGGACTAACGAACTAGCGATATCCACCGCAAGCGTCGTTGCTACACATTGACGAACCGGCTCCAACGGCATACATGCTCAGCAGAGCGAGTTAAATACACCAATACACGACACGTGTAGCCGTACGGTGAGTACCTCCAGCTTCAGTACTACCGTCCTTCACACGGCATCACACGATCCGTACCGGGCACCCCGCGTCGCGAGGTCATCCAGCACGGAACAGCCACCCATCCCTCCTCTCACGCCACAACACCGACAACACGATCTCTGGTACCTGAACACCACGGATAATAAACATCTGAGTGCCGGCGTGTCGCCAGCGGACGGGCGGCCGCGACGCTAGCGCCGCCACGCGGCCGTCGTCGGCGACCGGCGCCGCCTGGTGGCCGCCTCCTGAACCAGCTGCTCGAGCGAGGCGGCCGCCGGCCGGCCGACGCGCCCGCGGAACCACACGGTAATGGGCAGGTTCTGGCAGCCGCGGTAGCTCTTGTTGAGCTCGGCGGCCGTCAGCGCCGGCGTGATGTCGCAGGGCGCGCCGAACAGCGTCAGCGCCGGCGGCACCTCCGGGCCGGAGGCGCTCTCCGGGTGCGAGCGGAATACGGCTGACCGCAGCGACTGCCGAGCGAGGGCGCCGTGGTCAGACGAGGCTGGGCTGGCGCGGCGTCCGCGCGGAACAACACGTCGCGGCCGAAGAAGCCAGGTGCAGCCCCCGGCGCCGTTAGACTGGTGTGCTTGTCGCATAACGAGCAGCAAACACGCAACAATGGCAGATTTAAAATCAACTATAAGAGGCAATGGCATAGAAGAATGCATCAGCAGTAACTAGACTTTGAGCTTGGAGCGAGCCATATTTACAGGTCACAAGAGAAACACGTCATAAGGTGCGCTCGAGAGCAAACGTAGCACACAGCCATCCAAGCATTCACCTGACTCATTCAATCCAAATCAGCCAGGCTCTCCCACCGGAACCAAAGGTTCTCGTCCTCCTCCCCAAGTCACAGAGCCCACGAAGCGCAGCCTCCACCCGTCCAGCAGCGCCACACACCTTGCTGATATGTGAGGTGCAGGCGCGCGAGTGGTTGGTGGCGCTCCACACGCGCGTGAACTCGCCGCCCCAGCTGTACTCGTCGGCGCTGCCGGCGCTCGCCACCTGCACGTTGGCGTGGTTGGGCGAGTTGGCTATGGCGCGCACCACGCGGCCAGAGAAGCTCTGGTCGACGAGCAGGAGCACCTGGCGCGCGGCGCACGACTCCAGGTCCGAGAGCAGCTCCGAGACACGGTACCGCTCGTGGTGCGACGCCTGTGGGGGGGGGGGGGAGGGGCTGAGCTGGGTGGCGACCACGGAATGCGGTAGAGGTGGGGCAGTACTATATACATCTGCACAGGACCGGGTCCCGTCTCTGCACTGAAATATCAGGGACTTAGAATTCGAGACATCCGTTGCTCACACACGTTTTTTGTAATACAACTCGCTTTGCTACACTGAACAGCCGTCTACGAGTGTGTCTGTTGTAATCCACTGACATGTCCGTCTCACTTTACCTGTGTTTGTGTTATTGTGATGGTTGTCGGTGTTCACATTCGTGTCTGTGTAAGCGTCACTGGCGTTTCTTTTGTAATACGCCGGTGTGTCTTTTACTTAGTTAGTGCCAGTAGCCATGTCAGTGCCAACATCAGTCAGCGTCAGTGTCAGAACCAGAGCCAGTATCAGCACCATAGCCAGTGTCGGCGTCAGACTCAGCCTCAGTGTCAGACTCGCTGTCAGAGCGTCACCGACGCGCGGGTCGACTCACGATGCCGTCGCCGTCAGCGTCCCAGAGCAGCGCCGACCCGTCGTTGGCCGCCGGCGAGTTCAGGTACACCACCAGCGAGTCGACGCAGTGCGGCTCGGCGCACATCTTCCGCAGGTGGTAGCGCAGACCCAGCTTCATCGCCGACGCGTGCAGATAGGTGCGCGGGTAGGCTTCATCTGCGGGCGCCGGCGTGGGCGTGACGCACCACACCGTGACGTGACGGGTGACGATGACGCGATGGTTGATTTCTCAGGGCGCGGTGTGTGCGGAATGCTAGGGGGCGGGGCGTGGTGGCACCGCGGTTATTGCGACGGAACTACGTAGTGCGGTGTTGATGCCGCAACGGATGAAGCGGAGAGTGTGCATACACACACACACACGCTCACGTTCGCGGCCATCCTCGAGCGGAGAGTGTGCATACACATACACACACGCTCACGCTCGCAGCCTTCCTCGAGCGGAGAGTGTGCATACACACGCACACGCTCACGCTCGCAGCCTTCCTCGAGCGGAGAGTGTGCATACACATACACACACGCTCACGCTCGCAGCCTTCCTCGAGCGGAGAGTGTGCATACACACATACACACGGTCACGCTCGCGGCCAACCTCGAGCGGAGAGTGTGCATACACACACACACGCTCACGCTCGTGGCCATCCTCGGTCTAGTTAACCAAAAATACTCCATAGTCCAGGGTATTTGTGGCTTAGCTTACAGAGAACGAGGCTCACCACCCCAAAGGGAACGACATCCAGAGTAAGAGCCACAATGTGTAAAAGGCACGCCTTGCTCACTTGCGGGCGTCAAGTGCACTGTTTGCCACGCACCAACAGACGGACACCATGCCACAGTGACATTATGCCTCGTTCTGACCCACTCACCGCTGCCATCCGTGTTGTCGTGGCCGTTGGCGAAGAACACCTTGATGTTGTGCTTGTGGAAGCCGGTGTGGTGCAGCATGCGGTACATGTGCAGCATGTTGATCCTGCTGCGCTGGTCGCTGTGCAGCCGGTTCCAGCCGCCAGACAGCAGCACGGCCTGGTCGCACGTCTCGAAGAGGCGGCACCTGCGGGCAGCGGCCGGGTCAAGAGGGTTAGAGGCCGGGTCAGGAGGGGTGGCTGCGGGGCCAGCAGGGGCGACGGCAGGGTCAGCGAGGTGGCTGCCGGGTCAGGAAGGGAGGATGCCGGGTCAAGAGAGGTGGCTGCCGGGTCAAGAGTGAAGGAGGCCGGGTCAGGAGGGGCGGCGGCAGAGTTAGGAGGAGCGGCGGCCGGATCAGGAGGGGCGGTGGCCGGGTCAGGAGGGAGGGGGGGGGGAGGGCACGCCGGGCGTAGCTGCGTGGTCACGAGACGGAAACATGAATGTCATCAGTCATCACAAGGCGCATTTCACGACAAAGGGGATTTCTGTTGCAGGCTCGACCGCCTTCGCTGAGGTTCAGGAAGGTGTATTAGCACCCAGCTCAGTGTGACTCGGTAGGCCTGCCAGGTGAAACAAAAGCTTCACTGAACCAGACCGGAAATCGTTTTCCCGACAACACCTATGGAGGGACGGGCTAGCGGCTTCCCTCCTTCGTCGTGATTACCACCAGATGTCTCTCCCTTTCCCAGGCCTTACACCTCTCATGTCACTTGGTCTCGCCACACACCTGGTCTCCACGAAGTGGGTCGTGTCACAGCGGTGGTGGTTGTCACTGCTCGGGTCGCAGAGCAGTGTACTGGTCTCCGCCAGGGGGCGCAGGCGCGGACACAGCCCGAATCCGGGCAGCGGCCGACACGTCAGCAGATTCGCCGGGCCGCCGCTAGGTGGCAGCGCCGGCGGCCGCACGCGCACCTCCGGCAGGAAGTTGAGCTGGCAGCGGACGGCCACGTCGTCCAGGTGGTACTGCGTCTCAAGCTTGTTGAGGCAGCGCGTCTTGACGGCTCGCGAGATGCACTCGCCCGTTTCTGGCGGAGGAAGGAGCGAGGTTACAAGATGCACTCGCCCGTCTCTGGCGGAGGAAGGAGCGAGGTTACAAGATGCACTCGCCCGTCTCTGGCGGAGGAAGGAGCGAGAGGTTACACAAGATGCACTTGCCCGTCCCTGGCGGAGGAAGGAGCGAGGAATAGTACTTATGAAAAACTCCCGCCCGTCTCCAGTGGGGGGGGGGGGGGGGGGTTACGCGAGTAAGTCGTAGTGGTGGCGAGAAGGACTGCAAGAAATTGGTGATGAGATGAGCTCATTAACGAGGGACACTTCAGGAAGGTAGCGATGATAAGAGCGTCGATTCTACGACATCGTGACATAACGCTTGCTACTCAAAAGCTAGCAAACCTGCGTGTCCGTTGGTTTAGACTAGTAGGTACTAAAAGTCGACGGGGTTCTTGACACCGACAGCTCTCTGCTCTTACGACATTGCAAACTGCAACCATGAGTAATACAGGGCGCCCAAAGGCGTGTAGTACGAAATGGAAGCTTCAGACGGTTCAGAAGGCGCAAAATTATCCAGTTTCTACCATATAGTGTCAACACATGTCCAACGTCAACCAAGCGCGAAGTGTTGCTACCGGGCATTACGAGCGTTGTTTAGGCCCGCCATGTACATCATGTAAATGTACGCTCATGTGTGTAACATAGGTGTTGTAAGGTTCATTGACATGTCTGTATATAACATAGAATGAATCCGCACGTTCCACCTCGTATACCACATCCACATGACCCGCAGCCCTCGCGCGTTGGCGGCTACCCCTCTGATTTCTGGTTTTCAGAATGTCTGCTGAGCCGTTCCGTGCAGCGTTGCGGTATCTCAGCAGCTGCCTGGTCTCACAACACATCTCCGTATGTTCAACATGCCTGCTGAGTCGTTCCGTTCAGAGCTACGGTATGCCAGCAGCTGCCTCATCTCCCAGCATATCTCCATATGCTCAGAACGTCTCCTGGGGCGCCTCGTGCAGCGCTGCGATATGTCAGCACCTGCCTGGTCTCCCAATCATCTCCGTGTGTTCATATCTGCTGAGCCGTTCCGTTCAGAGCTGCGGTACGCCAGCAGCTGCCTCATCTCCCAAAACATTTCCATATGCTCAGAACGTCTTCCGAGGCGCCCCGTTCAGCGCTGCGATATGTCAGCAGCTGCCTCATCCCCCAGCATGTCTCCGTAATGTTTTGAAGCCAAAACTTCTCCACTTCAAATAAGTGAGCTCTGACTTATCCTGTCCTCGTGACTGGCACGAAGGAAATAAGTGATTTGGGGCATCACGAAATTAATCACCTTACTTGTCTACGTAAACGGACTGCTGTACCTTTTTATCAATTGTAGAGAAGGTTCTGCGCATCAAATTAGGTAAGCTTGGACTAACGCAAACGTTTCGAGAAAACGGTTGGGAAAGAAGGAATCAGCTGTCGACCCGCCGCCGAGCAGGCGGAAGTTGGCGCTGCAAGTGTCCCGAGTACGGAGTAGGTGCCATATCGGGCCGTGGGTATGGAGGCAAAATAAGTAAACGCAGGAATACGTGGGTAGCCCTTGTCAGGAATATACATGGAAATGATCAGTGATGACGTCATGGCCTTCCAAAAACTATGACCGACGGCCGGGGGCTTCAGCTCCGTCCCTTCGAGGAGCGCGACGCTTCAGGCGTGAGGATGACGACATTGTCGGCCGCTCAGGTCGGGAGCGTGTGCTGCGCTGTCTTTCGGGAACACGGCCGTCCGGACCGCCCAGGGCACCCCACGTCATGCTGTTCCGCGGAGTCATTCATAAATGTCCAGAAACGAGAGTGTTGATTTTCTGATGTGATGTTCAGGCTTCCTCTTAGAGACGGTACGCACCGGTTCGCCGGCCGCACTGAAGCGAGGCCACCCGTCACCCCGACACATACCGTGCCGCTGCGTCGGGGGCAGAGGCGGCGGCGGGGGCGGCGGCGGGGCAGGCGCACACCCACGTAACCGTCCGCCAACAATGAGGGTGTCGGCCGGTGCCACCGCCCGCGTCCCTGCAATGGTGCTTCGACGTTCGCCGCCCACAGCCCAGCGACTGTGGATGCCGGATCAAGCGCCCTTCAAAGGGGCCGCCTGACATACGACCCACCCCTGCAGCGCCAGCGTACAACCGCCGCCTCCGCAATGGAAGCAATCCGAACTAGGATCGCCGGAGCTGCAATGTCGGTGTGCGTCGGAGGCGCACCGGCCGCCTCGCTCGCCGCTCCGCCCGGTCGCCGCCGGCCGGCGCGGATAATATACATCGGTGACTAATTGTCCGTAAAACTTCAAAGGAGCCGCCGCGCCGCGATTACCTTATTACGCGGGTATGCGCCAACGGTACGCATGGCGGCCCGCGAGCGCCGGCCGGGCCTCGCCAGCTCGGCTTTCACGAGACCCGCCGAGAGACCCCGCCGGTGCAACGCACGCGCACAGCTGCCCGCAGCGCAAAAAACGCGTGCAGATCGCCGATGAATGGTCGGCGCCGTTTCAAGTCGGGAGCGCGCACGGCGGCGCGCGCGCTCGCCGGCCGGCTGCGGCCCGGCGGCACGCGTTTTCCCACGGCGAGGGGCGGCGGACATCAAAGGCGCCGCCGCTCGTGTCCGTCCGACGCCTGCCCCTCAGAAATTACACAAATTTAGCATAGAAATTGCAATAAAATTACTAAAATTATCCTTACACGCCGGGATGAAACCGATGCGCGACCTAATGTACCAGAAGAGACGGGCGGCAACTTCAAAGGAAGTCCCGCGCGTGACACCTGCGATTGAGGCGGCGGGCCGGCATTCAACGCAGACCTAGCTCGCCCAGGTAGAACGGCGCTTCCCCTCATTAGATACGGAGTAGAAATCCCCCATACATAATTTCAAACCCCTTTGTTTCAATTAAAGACGAATGAAGATCCCACCGGATCAGTAAGTACCCGTTAAAGAGAGGGACTTCGCTAAAATTCATTAAGGGTGGCGGCCCCACAGGCTTGCGGCTCCTCCAACCAACAGCGCCGATCGCCTATTGCCAGCACTGACGAGGGGCTAATCGTCGATCTCATGCCCAAACACAGCCGAAAAACAGCCGCATGAAACACTGCGACACACCGCTCTAGGTGCTTACGACAGATACTCGGCGCCGCTGGCGAGGATGGCGCTTGCATGTAAGTACTAGATGATCGCTGCCGCCATTCTGGTGAGACGGCACGAGCAGGTTCGTCACCTGGTGGGGTTCTCGGAATAGCCACCAGCTCAGCGCTGTTGTAAAGTTGCATGTAAATACATCCAGGAATTTGGTAATATAATTCAGGAGTACAGAGCACGAATACGGGTACAGAATATACCATGGCTGTTCTGGTATTTGAACACGGTGGGTCGGCATACGTTATCATAAACTGTTTGCAAAGTCATTGGTAATGAAGTATAGTTATTTCATCACATGCTAAGGTGTCTTGCCAGTTCTTTATGGCATAATGAATTGTGAGTGGAAGAAACAGCTGCCGTCGGTGACGACATTTTAGTTTATAAGAGTGGTCCGAAAGCATCACGTTTTTCCATGATAATGACCTTTCCATCGCTCGTGCAAACGATCGCACAGATAGGTCGCTGTCCTCCCAAAAAGCTCCCAGTACTTAGGGGCATCAAACGAAGGGTCACTGGACGTAGACGATCCGTTGGGAACTTATACGAGTAGTCATAAGCTTGGCGGAAAAGAACACGGACAACGGGAGTGAGCTAACACGAACAGCAATGATTTGACTACTGGATACACACATTGGTTCAAGGGACGTGATGCCACAAAGACCATCAGAGCAAATAGAGGCGCGCTTTTTTCATTCCAATCGAGTGTCATTATGTGACATTAAGTTTAGGTGACCTACAAAAGTACCTACATACGTCGGCGTGTATGCATGTCGAAAACACCACGTGGCTTGAGCCCGAGCCACAGTGTGTGAGTCGCCCGTGTTATCGCGCATGCAGGCTGCAATCATGGTGCTGCTTGAAGTGAATTTAACGTGGCAAACATCCGCTAGATCACATGTTAGAAGAGCGGGCGGCGTATTCACCACGATTAATCTGAGTTCCTGATTGGATGTGCTTTTAAATAGAGCAAAGCATTGCTTTCTGCATAGAGCTTTAATAGAACGGCCGGATGCGACTTGCTGCAGTTTCTTCCGAGGAAGGCAAGGCCAGGTGGATATAATCAAAACTTTTCCATTCATCCGGTTGCGTCCGAGTTTAACCGTCGCATCTAAAGGCAGTGTCCGTTGTAACCAACTCTAATGCGTCATAATGAATATGCTGACACCTACGCTTAGTTTGAAGCTTCAAGATGATATCCTGATTGCCAACACACAGAACAACAGCTTGTGGATCACGCAATCTTACGGAAGCACACTGCGACGTGTTTTTGATTACACGAGCGCTTGAAAGCATTTGAAAAACAGCAACTTAAAAACATGAGCAGCTTGAAATCTTTCTCAATTATATAAAGTAAAAATGACTGATGAAACAGCTGCAGCCAATAGCATCGCCGCCCCTCGGACTGTTGTTTGCCAAAACAACTGGTAGAAGCTCACAGAAGTGTGAGGCCCCCGCCCTCGCACACCGCCCTGGGCCAACAACATGATTCATACCTTGGGCTGTCTTTCACGCTCGGCTTATTCGGTCTGGCTGCTTTCGTCTTTTTGCTATAGTGTTCATGCATAATAAATCGTCATTCATCGCAACTTGGCATACATAGATGGTGAAGATCTTTCGCCGCGTCATTGGTTGTCGCTGCCGTGTGTGCCGAGTTCGTATTTAGTCAGGCTACTGACGGATGGTCCATGTTGAACATGCAAAATATGTGATAGATTCAGTCTTGTACCTTCAAGCAGAGCACACAGAAAATGACGCACTCCATGCCCTTCACAATCGTAAACGGCAGTTATGCTAGAAATTACCCTGTCGACTGTAGCACGACTGTATTTTGCAGCGAAACACTGCGTCTGAATAGTGTCGGA